TGAGTGGCTGGGCAGATGGATGTAGTTAGCTCCCGTGGTGAGACTGGTAATTAACTCCATGGTAGAAGGGACTGGAGCGGCAGAGTAGCTACTTTAGGAACATGGGATGCTTCCAGTATATAAGAAGCACCTTTCAGGAAGGTCTCTAGTTGACGGCATGCTTGAACCCTGCACGTAGCCGAGTCATTGTTCAGCACTCTGCCATGTTGCCCTGCTGATCTTGGGACTTTTAATGGACTTGAATTAGTGGCCTCCCGTGTGGTTTGGTAATATTGGGACTGTGCCTTTCCACTTGTTGACCTTGGGTTTGTCAGCCTTGGCAGCTAGCAGCTGCTTGAGAGAGGAGATGCCTCTGGTTTCAGCAGGTTGGGAGCAAGAGGCAGAGTTGAAGCCTAAGGCCGAGGGGCTTTCACCCAGCCCCTAGAGCCTGGCACTTTGAACTCAAGACTTCCAGTCTCCAAAGCTGTAGAAGAATCAACTCCTGTTTGTTAAGCCATCCCAGTTGTGGTATATTCCTGTCAGAGAGGCATTAGGTAACCGAAACAGGGTCCCTGAGTGACTGGATGTGGCACAGAAACTCTGCTGATCTGTTGAGGACATATAGTGTGGACAACCAGCGCTGGTGTAAGTCACTGACATTTGGGGTTGTTATGAAGAAAGATCTTACCTTCCTGACGAGTACACACGGCAGGTTCATTTCCTGTTTTGCCAGCTATCTTCAGGCTCCGTGTCTCTTTCTGGTCCTCTTCTCCACAGTCATCATTGGCTCCTCTTCTACCCACCCCTCAAGTATAAGCATTCCACAACAGTCACCTTCTGTCCCATTCTATTCTTTCTTTAAAGGGTAATACATGTTTACTGGAGATGTGTAGAGTGCAAAACTATGAGGAAGAGAATGAAATTTTCATAATCTGTAGCTATACATCTATGAATACATATTTCGGGTGTTTTTTTCCACTCCTTTCCAGACATGCACATTCTCTCATACCCACAGATACCCATTTCAGTAGATTAGAACGATGTTATTTCACGTAATATTGTATCAAATGCATTTCCCCACATTAAATGTTTTAAAATATGACTTTTCATAATGACATACCATGCCCCTCTATTGAGCCCCATTCTCTTCTTGATGTATACTTTCTTCTTGACTAATAACACCCACAATGTGGCTTTAATGCTCAACTCTATGGTTACCCCTGTATTAGTTAGGATTAGATTCAGCTTCAAAACACAGGAAAAAGAGAAAGAAATGAAAGATAAACAGTGGTTTAAATATCGCATTCAAGATGACTGCAGCTGATCAGTCTAGGGGTAGCACAATCTTTCTTGGTATGCAGGATTCATGTTGCTTCTATCTTATTGTTCCACCATGCAAAGCCTGTATTCCCAAAGTAACTTCATAGTCCAACATGCTGTTGGCATTCCACCCATCACATCTATATCCCAACAGTGGGAATTAGAAAGGTACCCACTTTTCCTCAGAGTTGCTCAGACTACCTTCTGCTTACACCCCACTAGTCAGAACACAATCATATGGTCATACCTAGCTGCCAGGGAGGCTGGAAAGTATAGCTTTTTTTTTTTTTTTTTTTCCAGGCAGCCATATGCCTGGCTAAAAAATTAGGACTTTCATGGGTTGGATCCAGATCCTGAGGGGATCAGTCAGATGGAGGCTGATTGAGGAATTTGTCCTCAGCCTGTATCTCAAAGGTGAACATCATCAGGAGATGAGAAGGGCAGGCTCACAGTGTGCCGTTGGGATTATTAACCAGCACAGAGTTAAGGCTCCTCCTTTCCTCTTCTTACTGGGAAGCCGCATCTCCTTTCAGCCTTTTGCTCCTTTCCACACCACCACCTCAACCCCAAATGAGATCTCATTGTTGTGCCAACTTCCCTCAGTGGCATTGCAGTTTTCACTTGTTCCCCTGATCCCACAGCCCTCCCTGTCCTGAGATCAGAGCCTCAGAGGCACTAAGAAACACTGACACCCCTCACTGTGAAGCCTTCACATGCAGACATACACCTACATATATTCCATAAACATGTACCAAACGCTGATTGGGCCAGATCCTGTACAGGACATTGATGCAACAGTGGCAGGCCAGAGCTGAGCTGGGCAGGACTGGGCTCGGCTGGGCAGGGCTGGGCTAGACAAGGCAGGGAAGGGCTGGGTGGAGGGAGGAAGAGATGTTTGTTTCAGGAAGATAAGAGCCATGGATTCTCTACAGGAGAAGTAGTTAGGTTCCTAGCTCACCAGCACATTCCATCCCTCTGCCCACAGGAACCGGTTCAGGAATGAACATGTGACCAAAGCTAGGCCAATGAAATTCAAAATGGGGCATCCAGCTGCATAGAAACCGGAGAAGCATGTATGTCACCATCTTGACACTGTACAGAGGAGCTGAGAGGTAGAGAGAGAGTTCATCTGGAGGATATCATTTAAGCCCCTGCATCCACCTGTGCCTGAAGGACACATTCCCCAACTTTTCAGTTTATGAGCCAATAAATGCCCTGGTGTTCACTAGTTCGGTTTGGGTTCTTTGACTTTCACAACTGGAAGAGACCTGCCAGCAAGTCAAACAGCCTGGTTCTTGTTCCCGGCTCCCTGGGCTAGGACTGCCGTGGTGGTTCAGCCTCCTGGAGGCTGACCCTATTAGTCTGTCGGAAGATGGTGGGGATGCTACTCAGCCTCCACGCTAAAGGCCATCAGTCCCATGTGAAGAACTTGGAGTGGAGCCTGTTGTTCTTTTCTGGTTGAAGCTAAGATGTGTCTCTTGTCCCATCCATGGAGAGGATGGGGAAAAAAATGAGGCCACACTTCCTGGGAAACGTGGTCAAACAACCCCTTCTCTGGGCCTAACTTTCCTCTTTCATGGGTTGGGGTGAATACTACAGACTTTCAAGGACCCCCAACACCCTCTCTGTCCATTACTCTCATTCCCTCCCTCACACCCCTTCCCATTCTCATACCCTGAACCTCAGATCCCATTTCCATCACCCTGACACCCCTCATTGGCACCTCCCCATGGTTTGCTCCCATAATCATCAACCCCATAAGCCACTATAGCAGGTGTCCCTTGGGCCTCACCATTGGGGCACACTTGGCCTACCTCCAACTTCAGGCATCTGAAGCTCTTTGGGGCTGGAGTCTGGTTTACCAAATCAAACCCACTGCCATCAACTTGTTTTGACGCATAGCAACTCTGTAAGACAGCAGAACTGCCCCACAGGGTCTCCAAAGTTGCAAATCTTTACAGATGCAGAATGCCTCATCTGTTTCCCACAGAGTGGCTGCTGGCTTTGAACTGTCAACCTTCTGGTTAGCAGCCAAGTGCCTGAACCACTGCACCACCAGAACATACCCAAAGTGCTCAGGAGCTCCCTGACCCCTCAGGTGGATGACTCTGAGGTCCATGTTTGCTGTCTCCCAAAGCCCCCCAGTGTGGGACTGAGCCCTGGCTGCTCACAGTGGGAACGTGCTTTATGGCTAGGGGAGCAACCATCCAATTGGCCCAGGATTAAGGGGCTTCTTGGGACATGGGATTTTGAGTGATAAAGCTGGAGAGTCCCAGGCAAACTGTGATAAGGTAATTGCCGAATTAATAACTCAGTGTTGACTGTCTTTCCTACAGCACTTCCCCACCCTCCTACAGGTGTTTTCTCCAAGATCAAGGCACATATTCCTTGCTTCAAGCTGTTCCTGGGAGACCTTGACCTCTATCCAGCCCATCACCCTGCCCCACCCTGCCCTGCCCAGGCCGCTCCCGCTCCCGAGCTGAGCTCTCATGAACTGTGGGCGCCATTCTTAACATCCTACGCATTACCTAGTTCTGCTCTTAGGCTTTTGAGGGAGGGTGGTCTGTCATCCTCATTTTACATGTGGGAAAGCTGAGGTTCAGGCAGTGAAGTCACCCTGGTGGTAGATGGCACAGGTAGGGGATTTGAATGGGCAAACTCTGTGCTTCCTCGCCCACTGCTAACACCACCACTTTGGATACTGAGGGCCAGGGACTTGCTGGGCGCTGTCCTGCACACCCCAGATGCATTATCTCATTTAATCCTACCACGCTCCTAAGAGGTGAGTACAGCCATTACCCCACCGGATAGAGAGGGAAACCAAAGCCAAAGAGGTGGCAGATTCACATCCTAGCACTAGGTTCACAGCTTCAAGCCACCATGCTGGTCCCTACATACATGCAATTTCCTTTCCAGCAGCCACAGCCACTTGAGGATAGGGGACTCTGGCTGCCAGCAGGGCCAGCTGGCAGAGGAGAGGAGGGGCCGGACAGCAAGCCTGGCCAAGAGACCCTAGGCTGGCATCTGGTCTGGCAGGCTGAGCCCAGGCCTCCTTGGACCCCTCACTGCCAGGCCCTGCCCACCCACCCCCTCGGGGAACTCTTTTGGGCCTTGAAACCTCCCCCACTCCTCCATCCCCACTCCTCCTGTGGTCGGCTCAAATACCAGACAGGGCGAATCTCAGCTTTTCCCCAAACATTCCTTGTTCCTGTGGCCCGGCCCAGGCTGGCTGAGGTTATGCAAGCAGGAGCTGGCGGTGGGGGGCCGGTTGGGGAGAGTTGGGGGGGTTGGGTTGGCCTGTCCTCGTCACCCCAGTCTGGCCACCCGCCTGGCCTCCCCAGGGCGGGGCAGGGGCAAGCCAGCCCCTGGAGCCCCTGAGAGAACAGGCCAGGGGATAGCCTGTGCTGAGCTATGGGGATGGTGGTGGCTGCGGCAGAGGCTCCAGGAGGTGACTGCCTGGTTTCCATTAGGAAGCCTTAGCGGGCAGTTCGATCAAGACGGCAGAGCTTGGGCTGGCTATGGTAAGGGGGCGGAGGGTCTAAGGGTGGGGCCTGCCCGCCCCTAGCCTGCCCGCCCCTAGCCTGCCAGCTGGCTCTTGCTGCACATGCCTGCCCCCCAGCCCCTCCCGACTCAGGATGTTCCTGTCGTCATGGTGAGCTGGTGCCCAGCGAGGGGCTGCTGACCCCTCCCTCCACTTCCAGTGGCTTATCCTGCTGCTGCTCCTGCTGTGGCTGGGCCCCCCAGTGGCCCCTGGCATGGAGGACGCTGCCTTCCCCCACCTTGGGGAGAGCTCGCAGCCTTTGCCCCGGGACTGCCCCCCACGCTGCTCCTGCCCCCGTGTGGACACTGTGGACTGTGATGGCCTGGACCTTCAAGTGTTCCCAGACAACATCACCAGGGCCACTCAGCACCTCTCCCTGCAGGTGGGGCTAGGCGGAGGGGAGTGGGGGCTCAGCATGCAAGGCATGGGGCACAGGGTTCTGGGCTGCAGGGGTCCATAGGCAGGGCCAGGGAAAGGGGGTTGACTGTGAAGTCTGGGAAACAACAGAAGGAATAGAATTCAGGGTTGGAGACAGTGTTGGGGTTTGTGTGGGAGGTGAGGGCTGTTGGGGTAGAGATATGGGAAGTGACAGGGATTGGGGTCAACTGTGGGTGTGATGGAGTGTTGGAGTCCACATCTTGGTGGGCATGAGGTTGCTTGGGGTCGGGGTGATGTTTGGGGTTGACTATGGAGGTGGTGGGGTGTTGAGATTCCCATCTCAGCAGTTATGGGGATGTCTGGAGTTGGAGTGGTAGTAATGGGTTGTTGGGGTCGACACCTTGGTGGTTATGGGGTTGAGATCAGGGAAATGGACATTTGGGGTTGACTGAGGGGGAGACGGGGTGTTGGGGTCCAAGTCTTGTCAGTCATGGGATTGTTTGGGGCTAGGGTGACAGTGTTTGGAGTTGACTGTGGTAGTGTGCAGTGTTGGGGTTCACATCTTGGCGGTTAATGGGGTTGTTTGGGATCAGGGTGATGGGTGTTAGGGATCGTGGTGGGGTGATGGGGTGTTGGGGCTGGTGGGGAGTTGAGAATCAGAGCTCATTGAGAGCGATGGGTCATGGGGATCAGGTGTAAATACCCTACCCTTGACCTACAGAACAACCAGCTCCAGGAACTCCCCTACAACGAGCTCTCGCGCCTCAGTGGCCTCCGGACCCTCAATCTGCACAACAACCTCATTTCCTCCGAGGGTGAGGGGGCAGGGGGACTGGAGCATATGGGGACAGGAGTCCCAGTGGCCCTCTCCCTTCCCAGCCTGGGTCTGTGGGCAGCTCTGTGGTTGACTTTCCAGAAGTACCCTTTGCTGAGTAGGATGGAAACTCAGGGGCTGGGTGTGTGTGTGTTTTGAGTAGGGATGGGGGGTGGGCAGGCTGCGAGTGCAATGGAGCCTCTGCCAGCCTTTAGCTGGGGCCCCAGCACAGCTAGAAGCACTGGGGAAGCAGCCCCAGCCCTGTCAGGCCCAGGGTCCCCTCACTGGCCCCTACCCCCAGGCCTGCCGGACGAGGCCTTCGAGTCCCTCACCCAGCTACAACACATCTATGTCGCCCACAACAAGGTGAGCTCCCCCCATCCCTAAGGCCAAGCCCAGAGAGGGCACAGCCTGGCCTGGGGTCACCATGCAGTGTGACCCGAGGGGACTGGGGGGCACCAGGACCAGTGGGCTGTGCTCCCGCAGCTATCAGTGGCCCCCCAGTTTCTGCCCCACTCCCTCCGTGTCGCGGATCTGGCTGCCAATCAAGTGACAGAGATCTTCCCGCTCACCTTTGGGGAGAAGCCGGCACTCAGGTAGGCCCTGGCTCAGCCCAGGACCCCAGGCTTCATATCATCTGGGATCATGGCCCCACCTTGGGGGGCCCTAACCGGGGGCCTGAGCGAGGCCTGTTCTGGGGGCCCAGAAAGTCGCTGCCCTAGAGGTCTGAGGAGGCCCCACCTGGGGGGTTCAGAGGGAAGAGACAGCCCCCCCAAAATCTGTCCTGGAGAACTCTAGCCTAAGAAGGAAGCAGTGCGCACGCGCGCGCGCACACACACACACACACACACACACACACACACACATTCTCACACCTCCACCTGCAGAAGGAAGCCTTGGGCCGGAAGTGGGGGGGTAAGGGTAGTGGGAGGTGAGAAGAGCCTGGTGGCTGGAACCTGGCTCCCCTCAGGTCTGTGTACCTCCATAACAACCAGCTGAGCAACGGAGGCCTGCCCCTTGACGCCTTCCGTGGCTCTGAGGCCATCGCCACACTCAGCCTCTCCAGCAACCGGCTCAGCTACCTGCCGCCTAGTCTGCCGGCCTCGCTGGAGCGGCTCCACCTGCAGGTGTGTCCGGGGGGTGCGGGGCTGGGCATGGGCACCGGCTTCCTCACTGCCTGTGACTTCTGGGCACAGGGCTCCTCCTCACACTCCCTGCTCTGCTCCCGGGGCTCAAGTAAGGTGTAATGACAGTGACATCCAGTGCTCAGCACTTCATCAGTGCAAAAGCAAATGAACACAGTCTGAAGGTCTCTGATGATGGAAACAAGGCCTGTACTTCTAACTCTGGTTTCTCGTGATTCCTCCCCACACTCTCCTTTCTCTCTCCCCTGGCTGTCCCTTCTGTCAACCCTCTACTGGAGTTCCCTCTGCCTCCTCACCTGGCCCCCTGTAACCACTCACAATCCTTCTGAGCATGCCCGGAATTCGTTATCTTGCTAAAGACAAGCTCCCTGTCACTCCCTCACTCCAGAGCCTTCCACGGCTCCTGAATGCTCTCTGTCCTGGCCCCTCAGTGTCATTCTCCCCCTACCCCCCCAGAATAACCTCATCTCCAAGGTGCCCCGAGGGGCCCTGAGCCGCCAGACCCAGCTCCGTGAGCTCTACCTCCAGCACAACCGGCTGACTGACAGCGGCCTGGACACCACCACCTTCAGGTGGGGCATGGGGCGGGTGGAAGGCAAGCATCCAGAGTTTAGGACCCATAGAACTCTGGTAGCGTAATGCCTAAGGCACTTGACTGCTAACCAGAAGGCTGCTGGTTCAAACCCACCAGCCACTCCCCAGAAAGAAGGTTGGGCCATCCATCTACTTCCGTAGTGATATGCCTCGGAAACGCAAGGAGGGGTCGCTATGGGTCGGATCCGACTCCACGGCAATGTTTTTTTTTTTTAACCCCCCAGTCTCCCTCCCCTGTGACTCCTGTGATTCATCTTAGTGAGCCCCTACTGTGTGCCAGGCTTGGCTGAGCACTGGGCAGTGTCCTTGTTCCCGTCACCCTGTGACATGGTTAGCAGAGTGGCCACTCAGAAGGTCAGCTCTCTCTGAGACCTAGACCTCTGGTCATCCCATCTAATTCTTCATCCAGAATCTGCCCTGCTCACCGAGCTTGTCTCCCACCCAAATTTCACGAATCATCACAGCCAAGTTGAAATCTCCAGCTAAGATCTGTCCTAAGACAACTCCTCAAACCACCCTCTAGAGACCCGGCCTGGCCTTACTTCTCAGTGCCCAGCCTGACATCTGGCCTTCTCTCCCACCAGCAAGCTGTGCAGCCTCGAATACCTGGATCTGTCCCACAATCAGCTGGAAGAGGTGCCTGCAGGCCTGCCCCGGACCCTGGCTGTCTTGCACCTGGGCCGCAACCGCATCCGGCGGGTGGAGGGGGCTCGGCTGCAGGGAGCACAGGGCCTGCGCTACCTACTGCTGCAGCACAACAAGCTGGGGGGCACGGGGCTGCCCCCTGGGGCTCTGCAGTCGTTGCAGCGCCTGCACACACTGCACCTGTACGGCAACGGGCTGGAGCGTGTGCCCCTGGCGCTGCCCCGCCGCCTGCGGGCCCTGGTGCTGCCCTACAACCAAGTGGCTGCACTGGGTGCCCGTGACCTGGCCTCCACGCGGGGTCTGACTGAACTCAACCTGGCCTACAACTGCCTGGCCAGCGCCCGCGTCCACCGCCGGGCCTTCCGCCCACTGCGTGCCCTGCGAAGCCTCGACCTGGCTGGCAACCAACTGACGCAGTTGCCCGCCCGCCTGCCCTCCAGCCTCCACGCCCTGCGGCTGCAGCGCAACCAGCTTCGCGTCCTCGAGCCCGAGCCACTGGCTGGCCTGGACCAGCTGCAGGAGCTCAGCCTGGCCCACAACCGGCTCCGGGTGGGCGACATTGGGCCTGGCACCTGGCACGAGCTGCAGGCCCTCAAGGTCAGGGTGGCAGGAGGAACACTGCACGTGACCCCTCCACCTGCCCAGACCCTGCAGCTCCAGGGCCTTGCGATGTCACAAACGCTACCTGGTGCCAGCCATGGGGTGAATTAGACAAGCCCAACCTCCAGGCCTTCGCCTACACTGTCCCTGGCATCTAGTCCCCCAGTCCCCCAGGCCTCCCCCTTACCTCACCAGTGGACACCGCTGTCCCTAGCTTCTACTGACCAAACTGATCAAACAAGGGTCAAGCTGCCGCAGCCTGCCAACTCCACGGTTCTAGTGCTTCTCCAGTGTCTGGCCCTGCTCCAGGGCCTGCAGAGCAGGCGGGGATAGGTCCTGCTCTGTTAGGATGATGACTAAATGATTGGGGACATAGAAAAGCACTGCCCCGCAATGATTCTGCAGTGGGCAGCCCTCTGACCGTGCCCCAGCACCGAGAGCAGGGCCTACACCAAAGGACTCGGTTTACTTCTGTCAAAGGGAGGAATTCTGCAGCCATGAAGGGGGACAGAGGGAAGGGGGCAGAGGTCCGGGCCGAGTGTAGAGGGGGAAGGCCCAGAAGAGGGCTGGGGCCACCACATGCCATCTCACCTGCCCACCAGGTGCTGGACCTCAGCCACAATGAGCTGTCCTTTGTGCCACCGGACCTGCCCGAGGCCCTGGAAGAGCTGCACCTGCAGGGCAACCGCATCGGCTACGTGGGCCCCGAGGCCTTCGCCAGCACACCTCGCCTGCGAGCCCTCTTCCTCAGGTGCCCTGGGCGGCCAGCTGGGCAGGCGAGGGCCTGGGTGGTCACCTTTTATCAGGGGGTTCTATGCCCCATCCCACCCTCACATGCACCTCCCTGTCCAGGGCCAACAGGCTTCATATGATGAGCATCGCGCCTGAAGCCCTTCTGGGCCTCCCACACCTGCGAGTGGTGGACACAACGGGTAACCCAGAGCAGGTCCTCGTCCGGCTGCCGCCCACGGCCCCACGTCAACCACGGGCAGGTGGCCCCTGAGCCACAGACTGACAAGGCCTCAGGAATCAGGCCTGACGGGGGTAGGGTGCCACTTCCATATAGTGAGGTGTGGGGGCAATGAGAAGCACACAAGACTCCCTCCAGGTGTGCACTCCCCGCCCCTAAGGCAGACGAGACAATGACAATAAAGCCTAAGCCTCTGGGGCACTCACATCAACCAGGCACCCTTCCACTGGCCCCTCACAAACCTTGCTGCAGGGGCTCTCACCAACTGTGTGCCCCTGGGGAAACTGAAGGTCTGGGTGCTAAATGGGTTAAGCACTTTGTTTCAGGCAATGAGCCAATGAACGGCAAAGCTGGAATCTGAGGCCAGTGGGTGCATGTCGTCCTTACCCATCCCCATATAGGGCCCCAGGGCCCCCACGTGCTGGCATGGCCCACATTACCCTGTGGTGCCACTATGAGTCACCCAAAAAACCAAACCCATCGCCAATGCCTCAATTCCAAGTCATGGTGGCCCCACATGCATCAGAGCAGAACTGACCCATAAGGTGTTTTTGGCTATAATCTTTATGGAAGCAAATTGCCGGGACCTTCTTCCTCAGTGCCACTGGACAGGTGTGAACCACCAACCCTTCACCACCAGGGGCCCTATATACCACCCAGAAGTGTAAACCCAGGAGCACCCGAGGCCAGTCACTGCAACAGAGCAGACCACAGATCCCCATGCAGACCCTCAGGCACACCCCCACAGTAGGCACTTGACTTGAGTCAGATGCACCCTGTGCAGGACTGTGGGGGGGACCCCGGGTCAGTCACTGGGGGCTGGACCAAGAAACAAAGACGGAGAGGGCTGGGCTGGGTGCGGCCCTAGCCGTTTATTCCGAAGGTTGGTCCTGGTGGCCTGGCTGGGCCAGAGCAGTCAACCAAAGCTCAGGTGACCTCAGTAGCTTCTTTGGGGTGTGGGCAGGCTTCAGGAGGTTAAGGCAGGGGAGGGACAGGAAGTAAAGTGCTTGCAGGGGCCCCCAGGATTGGTCTCACCACCTCCCACCTCAGGGCAGGCCAGGGACTGGGCAACCCAGAGTTGTGCAAACGGGGCTCTGCAGGGGCCCACCCGGGCTAGCCTGCCTCCAGGGTGCCAGGAGCTGGGCCAAGCTGGCTGGGCACCATCCCAACGCTCCCCCAGAGAGGCTTTGCCAACTGGGCCTGGGTCAGCACCGCAGGAGACGGCCCTCCATCTGTGTCCCGAGAGCTGATTGTCCACTGATTGTCTGCTCATTTGGTCTGGGCCACGCTCAGCTCCTCCCAGCTGCTTGGCTTCAGGCTCCCTGGGCTGGGGCCACTCTCCTGTCAGCCCCTCACCTTCGGAGCCGCTGCAGCTGGGGGAGAGGCCTCCAGGGTCAGATAAGCAGACACGGCCCCGCCCCCACCCGGCTGGGGGCGGGGCAGGCCGGGCCTCACCTCACTCTCCACCAGATTCCGCCTGTACAACGCCTCCTTCGCAGCCTCCTGTGGGGATGGGGGTTGGCAGATGCCCTAGCAGCCCTGCCCCATGCCCACCCAGCCCTGCTCGCCCACCCTGCCTCACCCTGCTGCCATCGCTGCCCAGGCGCCGGGCGGCCTCGGTGTAGAACTGCAGCTGCCGCTCCAGCTGGGCCATGTACTCTGAGGGCAGAGAGGGGCTCAGGGAAGCGGCCCAGCCCAGCTGCCCCCTTCCCCCACTATGGCCATCCTCTCTCCCACTGTGCCCACCCTCTCCCCTCCCCTACTGTGTCCACCCTCTCCCTCTCCCCCACTGTGCCCACCCTCTCCCCT